CTTCTTCTTCTTCTTCTTCTTCTTCTTCTTCTTCTTCTTCTTCTTCTTCTTCTTCAGTTCTAGTTCTTAAAGCTAAATTTGATTTTCATATTATTTGAGGAAAGTGTATAACAAATTTAAGCTCCAGCCAAGTTTGGCATTTTATTAATAAAATTAATAATAAGAAATATTCATAAATAATATTAAGAAATAAGAATAAAAAATTAATTCTTAAGTGTCTTATAAAAAATTATTAATATTATATCAACATGAGAATAGTACGATTCATAAATAATATTTAAAGAAATTAATTTTTAAATGTCTTATATAAAATTATTAATATTATATCAACATGAGAATAGTACGAGTATTGCACCACGTAATATAATTTAGTTACATATTTTTTTATGAAAAGAAAAGAAAAATAAATAAATAAAAAATATATAGATATTAATAATTGTTTTTATACCACTGTATTTGAACCCAAGAAAAATTAATTTTAAAAAAAAAACTAATTAAAAGTTTTTTTTTTTCTTAAATACTACAAAAGATTAAAATATTTATTTTACAATGCAGTCGAATTTATAAATTAGTTTTTGCACCTGTTTTTGTTTCTAAATACTTTTAAATTTCTATATATATTTTTTTTTACTATTTATTTTTCTACTCTTTTTTTTTTTTTGTTGTGTTTCTTGCTCTCTGTTTTGTTGTGCACTGTTTTTGCAGCGTCCGCGTCGTCCGCTGGGTGACCGGGTCGGCTATGGCGTTGATGTCGACGCCGACGTCGACGACGCGCCGTTCGCGTTGGCAGCGGCAGCGGCAGCGGCAGCGAGCGCCACCCATAAGAAAATACGCTGCGGCATCTTGAGTTCCATTTCAGTTGATATTGCTTTAAATTCGCGAACGCGTCGATCCCAGCGCTCCCAGCTCGACTTGACGCGCGGCAAACGGGAAAATTCTAATTGGAAGCGCTCCTACTCGAATTGGAATTCCGTTTCGGTTTCATGGGGGCAAACGCGGCTTATCAGACGAAAACGAAAACGAAAACAAAGTTTTTGTTATATTTATAAAATTTGTATTTTTTTTTTTCTGTTCTATTGTGCATTTTGTTTTAAACTGAATAAGGTTTTGTGCTAAGAAATGAAACAAATGTATATAAATAATAATTATATGTGATATAAAAAGTATATATATATGTGAATATTTTATGAATGACACGCTGAATGAAACGCGCGCGTCTTCATTTCATTTTCAATTGCTGTAAATCGTATATATATATGTACATATGTATATACATATATATATATATATGCACATGATATGATGAATATTAATCTGTTGCAGTCGCTGCCTTATGCCGCAATAGTTTGAAGTGCATTATTTGCATATAGAATATTTGCAAACATGGAAGCGATTATACTATATATAAAGATATACACGCGCGTATATACATATAAGTCGAAGCCAAGCCCTGCTTATTACATTGTGAACACATTGTAACACGTACTCATATTTGCCATCTGGATGATTCACAGTTATAGTCAATTCAATTGTTTCCATTTCCATGCCACGATAGAGCGTCTGCCCCAGCGTCGCAGAGCCGAGCCACTTAGCCAGCAGCCGAGGTCAATTGGAGCGCGGCTTCTGTGCGATAAGCGATTGCCTGCCAGCTCCTTGACTGGGATATCTAATATAAAAATGTGTATATATATGCATATATACATATTATATATACACATATATTTAATACTCATCTTGCATTGAGCCACTTTCGGTTTTCAAAGGTTCAAGTCCCGCTTGACCTGCTGATGCCTAAAAGTATGCAAGACTTGAGATGGTTGCAAGAAGAACCACTTAGGAAATAACAAGATAATCTGAAATCGAAAGAAAGCAAAAGAATGAGAGAGAGAGCAGATAGGCAGTGTAGGAGATAGCAATAGAGAGAGAGAGACGGAGAGACAGAGAGAAGAGTCCGCCAGGAACCGAGTTATAGAAGGAAAGTTATTAGGGAAAATGGTTGAGAGAGAGAGAGTGAGAGAGAGAAGAGGAGAGGAGAAAGAGAATAAGTCTGTGAGAGTTAGTCAGACATTTTGAAGAACAGAGTTAGAGAAAGAGAAAGAAAGCTTGAGGAAAGTCATAGAGGAAAAGAGAAGAGAAGAAAGAAAAACTAAAATAGGGCGAGTGACAGATAAGGTGTCCAACAGGAGGAATAGTGTTAGAGTATGAAGCAGAGAGGGGAAGGGACAGAGATAGAGGAAGAGAGAGAGCCAAAAAGAGAGTTAGATAGAGAGCGAGAGAAAGATGGACAAAGAGAAATCTAGTAACAAGCCATCACAAGCCATTTAGAACATAACCAGCACATTTCCTATAATCCCAAATTTCTCTTACTCTTTCTTCCTTTATACATTCAAATATTAGAGCTGTGAGTTATAGTATTACCTCAAATTTTTACTTTCATTATATCAAATTAATATATAATTATAATCCTTTTAGTTCTTATATCGCTCACAGCAATTGTTATTTATGGGGTATACCACAAACCCACAAAGCAGAAAGTCAAACTCAGCTGCAGATTGTAAAATCGTTCCACGTACCGAAGTTCTGTGAAAATATATGTATATGCATACTCCTTCTCTTATCGAAAGCCCAAGAGCGAGACGATTAGCTCAGCCAAAGTCGATATACATATATAAATTATATATGTATGTATGTATATAGCTATCAATAAGTTGGACTTATCTGGTTAACTGTATTCAGTGGAATTAACTCTATAGGTTTTCTTGGTAAACTCAAGGATAAATAGAGGGAATTCAGTTAAAATTGAAATACTATAAAAACAGAAAATATGATTAAGATAAATCTTGAACAGGAAAAAAAGTAATTTACTCGAATATGTATGTAGAATTTATTTTCAAGTAGATAGAAATAATAAAGGACTGTCTGCCAAGGTCTTTGGCTTTACATATCTCGTCTTCATCTACTTTCATCTTCACTTCAACTCTATATTAGATTAGATTAGTTTAGGAGAATCTTCAATAGATGGCAATACAGTTCATACAACTCATTTAGCCGTGTGCAACACTATTTAGCAGTGTGCAACAATTGTTGAAGTTGCATCGCTTGATCAAAGGCTTTGACAACAGGTAGACGGCATTCCAAAGGCCAAGAGCAGCGCCACCTGTGAGAATCCATTAGCTGCTTACGCAACAGCAGCACTAGCTAAACAGCTTCGCATTTGCTCAGTCGCTCAGTTGATCAATTCGTCAGTTGCTCATTCTCTCCCGCTTGTGTAAAAGGGCCGCAGCACTGTTGCGCACTGGCGGGGCATTTAATTTGAGTGACGCCTCGACAGGCCCCTGACCGAGGGACCCGTTGGCCGAGCCATCGGGGGCGACATCTCGACATGCTTTGCTGCCGCCACGACGACTCTGACTCTGACTCTGGCTGCGGCTGCGACTGTGAGTCTGACTCATCCATGGCGTTGCCTGTGAAGCGAACGTCAAGAGTCTCGAGAAGCAGTTGCTCATGCTTAACTTAACCCCTTAACACTTATGTGGGCCACTCGAGTCGCATTTGAGTATGTGAAATTAATGGCTGTTGCGCGGTTGGCGTAACCTCAAGTGGAACTTGAATTGTTTAACTTGCAGTTAAATCAATTGTAAAATTATTTAATAAGCAAGCCAGAAGCAAAAAGAGCTCGCTGCCAAAAGAATATTTGTTTTCTTTTATTTATTATTCTTGTTACATACTTGCATACATATATATATATATATATATATATATATATATGAACGTATGTACACATATTTTCTTGTGTGCCCTACCTACCAGTTGACATTATCTTTATAATAAATATTGTTTAAACAATAGAATGATAACACACACAATGTGAGTGCGCGTCGGGGTCGCTTGAACTCTTTGCGACAGCTTAAGGGTTAAGTGCTGAGAGCCGAAGTTAGAAATGTAAAGCAGCGCAAGCGACAACAACAGTTACACATGTATGTATGTGTGTATGCCCGCCGAGTGCAGCGTCACTAAACACGATCGCTGTCTCTGTTGCGTGTGTGTGTGCAAGTGCGCGGGAGTAAGGGGTTGCACAGATAATAGCGCGTGCGCGCATGTGTGTGTGTGTGAGAGAGAGCAATTGAAAGAGAGCAAACGAACGGGCGACTATTTGACAGTTGACTCGCATCAATTAAATGTGCATAACAGATAAAATGAAATGAAATGAAATGAAAACTGTTTTTTTTTCTTTCTCGTGTTTATGTGTATTTTTCGTGTCTTTGATTCTGTCGACGTAGTTGAAAACACAAAAAAAGAACGTTAAAATAAATGATGATGCAGCAATATAGTAATAATAACAAACAACGCGATAAAAGCGTGTGATAGTGAATGGGAGTACACTACAGCGACGAAAGTGTGTGTGACAGACAGAGAGAGAGAGAGAGAGAGACAGCGACCAGCGAACTGACAAAGCAAAAGAAATGCCGCAACAAGTGGATATGAAAAGCAGCAAGCGAAGCAGCAGCGAAATCAACGACAACAATAATAAACAGCACATTTCCAATCAGAACGAGGCGACACAGTCGCAGCTGCGCAGCAAGCGCAATCGCCAACTGCAGCCCCAGCAGCATATCTATGAGAATCTGCCAGCGTCGGCGTCGACGCAGCAGCTGCGCAAATACTTTCGCCGCGAGGTGATCTACGAAAATCTGTGCCACGGCTGCGGCTACGGCGTCTTTGCAGCACAAGGTCGCTATTGCCACTTCTGCCAGTGCATTGTGAGCGGCAGCGTCGTCGCAGCGCTGCAGCAACAACAGCCCCAGCATCAGCCGCAGCCGCAGTCGCAGTCAGCGTCGAGCGGCAGCGAATGCAACATTTATGAGAACATTTGCGAGCTCTGTCGGGGCATCTACAGCGACAGCGAACCATGCGCGTGTCTAAGAAGTGCCACGCCCACTGGCGCAACTGCAGCACCGATTGAAAAGACGCCGCCAGCTGCGACGCCAGCGACTGCCAAGGCCGGCAAATCACGCACTCTGCTCGGCTACTCCAAGTCCAGCGCAGCGACGCTGACGCGCCTCTTCGGCTCGCTGAAGCAGCTAAATCGATCGGGCTCCATGCAGCGACGCCTCTTCCAAAAGGAGGCGGTGGGCGGTGGCAAAGTCGGTGGCGGCGCCGGCGGCTCATTGGAAATCATTCACAACGTGGGCGAAGTGTTCCGCACGCAGGAGACGTTCGATATGCAGCGCATCTGTGAGCTGAAGCGTCAGCTGCAGTGCAGTCGCAGTGATCAGCACATCTACGGCAGGCTGCGCAGCGACCGGGAGCCTGAACCAGAGCCGTTGCCTCAATCGCAATCGCAGTCGCAGTCGCCGTCGCAGTCGCAGCCGGAACCGGAGCCGGAACCAGAGCATGAACGACAGACAGAGGGCGCAAGCGCAGCGGAGGTGACGCGCAAAAAGCCGCGCATATCGCGCATGCGTCTGCTGCGTCAAGACCAGCAGCAGTTAAACTGCCAGGCAGCAGCAGCAGCAGCGCCGTCGACGTCAGCAGCTCTATTTTTGAATGAAAGCATTTGCCAGTGGATGAACGCGCTGCGACGCGAGCTGCACAGCTACGAGGATGCCAACGGCGGCGTTGGCTGCCAGCAGCCCAAAAGCGTGCCGCCGGCCTATGAGAGAGAGCGAGAGCGCGAACAAGTGGCTGAGCTTGTGACGCTGCGGCGCAGCGAGGCAGCGGCAGCCGCAGAGGCCGAGGCAGAGCCGGCGGCGCAGCAGCGTTTGGTGAACGATTTTAAGCGAAAACTGTTGGCAAAGCCATATTTCCAATTAGACGCCCAATTGGGAAGCCAATTAGCGCAAAACGGGCAGGTGAATGACGATGCGCAGCTAGACGATCGACGTCGGCGTCGCTGCGGCATCAATGAACGGCACGATGCGGCCTTTGTTAGTGAATTTCTCAGCGGTTTGGCGGTCACTGAGAGCGCCAAGCCAGCGGCAGAGCTCGAAATAAGTGTTACAACAACGCAGACAACGTGCAATGCAGTGGCAGCGGCAGCAGCAGCGCTGCTCACTGGATGCTTGTCGCTGCCTCAGCTGTGGCAGACGACTGCACTTGCGGCCAGCTTGCATCGCAGCGTCATTTTCTACTGCAGCTATGACAAATTGCTGAGCGCCTTTTTGCAGCGACGACAGCGACTGCGCAGCGATAGCATTGAGCGTTGGCTACGTCGCTATCGCCGCTACTGTGAGAGCGACAACAACAATATCGCTGAGTGTGAGTCAGCGTCGAGACAACAGCAACGGCGTCGACAGCGGCGACGCCTATTGGAGCCGCCGACATTGGAGCTGGCAGTTGTGTTAGCGACGCCACCGAGTGACGACGTTGCTGCGGTCACATGGCATGTCGGCAGCATTAGCAATACGCTAGAATCGTGCGGGCGAGAGAGCGTGAGCGCGATCGTGAGCGTAAGCGTGTGTGAGAGCGAGCAAGAGACGCGATCGGAGTGCGCCAGCAGCGACGACGGCGTCGTTGTTGGCAGAGCGCTGATGGCGGCACCCAAGCAGAGCGCCGTGACTGAGCGCTCCAGCAGTGACGACAGTGAAAACAATAGCAATAATAATAATAACAACAACAACAGCAGCAGCAACAGCAGTAACAATAGCGACAGTAATAATAAGGAGTGTGACAATGTTAACCAACAGCAACAACAACAACAACAGCAACAAACAACAATAACACAGGTCAATAGCCATTCCAAGCAAACAGATTTACAACAAATTACAAATTATAAAAATAAATTAAAATAACGAACAACAACAATTTGGGCTCACTGCCAGCTGCAATTGAGGCGTAAATTAATATAGCAATACAACGGTAGTTGCGCTAAATGAGCGCGCTCAAGTGAGAGAGAGCGAGAGGGTGACAGAGAAGGGTATAGATAGAGGGCGCAGAGCGCTGTGTGTGTGAGCAGAGCAAAAGGTGAGCGTAAAGAGAGCAAGTTAGCGGGCAGCAGAGCTGCAAAATGTGTAGCGAAAAGGAACAAACAACAAAAGGGAATGAGTGATGGCGAGAGAGAGAGCGAGGGGAAAGACAACGTAAAACAGTTGTATTTATATTATATTGAAAGCTTCTTTGAGAGTTTTGACTTGCTTTGGCATGTGTGCAAATTATTATATTTGTAAATGAATAATAATACAAATATTGTATGGAATGAATGTTATATAATTGGCATTAGTATATAGAAATATATAATAAATTATAAAAAAAATTTATATAATATGTATGCATAAAAACAGATCTCAGTAAAATAGTTCAATAAAAAATATGCATAAATCAGATTAAAGAATAATTTAATTACTTAAGTATTGTAGAAAATACCTATGTACATATATGTACATACATATGTACATGTACATGTACATATATGCGAATAATATGCATAACACATGTAGGGACTGATCGAGCATAATAATACTCTTAACGATTACGAGACAATTAGCGATAACCAATTCGTTTTCCATATGCAAATAAAATTTAACGATCGATTCTTGCGAATGTACATATGTATAAACAGAGGGAGAGAAAGAGAGCGAGATAGCTGAATTGATTCCCATTTGATTTTGTATGGCAAATTACAGTTAACGATCGATCGTAGCAAATTGGTTATCAAACATTTTATGATTTCTGTGGAGATAATTTTAAATCAATATACAATAAATAAGTATTAGTAATCGATTGATAGAACTAAAATATTAGTCAGTTACGGAATATAGGATTTGGAAATCGGCGAGTTTTTTCTAAAAAATAATGTAAATATTTTGTTTTTCAAATTTTTAATATATTAAAAAAAAAAAATCTATAAAAATTGAAAACTTTGTATATTAATTGAAAAATTAAATAATAAACAAATTATTTCATAAGAATTCCAATTGGCAGTTGGGCAAACGTTCCAATTAGAAGCAGCAGTGCAAGAATTAGTTCGAATTGTTGTTGTTCCACAAAAATCGGTCTCTGTGGAATGTGATTATGACAACAAAAAGTTTTTTTTTTTCGTTTTTGTTTTGTTTTTGTTTTCTTTTCTAACTAATTGTAGAATTGTGTGATAAAAGTGCGTCGACCGGCGCCTCAGGTGCCCGTGCGTAATCCAACCACGGCGCTTACTAAGAACCAAAATGAGAAAAGCAACAACAGCAACAACAACAATAATAAACAGAACGAAAACAAAAGCAGCGAAGCAAACGTTGCGATTAATCAAGTGAAAGAGCTGCGAGCAGAGGCAGAGATGGAAGCAGCGGCTAAGACAGCGACAGAGCAGCAGCAGCAGCAGCAGCAGGAGGAGAAGGAGAAGGAGAAAGAGCAACAACAACAACAGCAGCAGGAGGAGGAAGAGGAATCCATTTATCAGACCATCTGGCAGTTTAAAACCGTGGAGCCAGTGCCAGTCGACAATGAAGAAGAAGAGGAAGACTTTGAGATCATCGCAGCGACCGATGCGACGGCCAGCGATGACGATGCAGACACTGAATTTTATGCGGATGCCGAGACCGACGCAGACGTCTACGTCGACGCCGATGATGTTCAGGCTGAGGAATTGGCGCTGCAAGCGGCGGCAGCGTTTGCGGCTGGCGCACGTCACAGGCTGACTAAGCAAACGACGCCGGCGCCGCTGTCGCCGCTGCCGTCGCCAACGGCGTCCATGGATCAAGGCGCCTGGGAGACGGATGACGAGTTTATGTTCGCCAAGGCTGACGAGCAGCAGCAGCGGGAGCTGCAGCAGCAGCAGCAGCAGCAGCGACAGCGGCAGCAACTGCGAGAGCAACAGAACGCTGAGACGCTTAGCGTGGGCAGCACGGTGACCAACAGCACGGCAACGCTTGGCTCCATCAGCAGCAGGGGTAGCGCTGGCAGCAGCAGCCTCGACAGCAGCGCTGCGACTGCGCCGCAAACACTGACGCATCCGCTGCTGCGCAACATATGCATTTGCTACAGCCTCAAGGAGCCGCAGAAATATAACGTTATCTTCTACGACTACGAGCGGGCGCAGCTACATCAGCATTTTATGACCCGCAGGCGATGTCCGCCTCCGCCGCCGCCGCCAGCGAAGTGGGCAGCGCAGCTGACGACGACGTCGCCGGCCATTGGAAATCTAAACAGCAACGATGACAGCGGCTGCAGCTGCGAAGCGGACGCCGACGAGCTGCCCGATCACATACCGCATCCACTCAAAGAGGATTGGGCCCTGGCCTTGCTCGCTGCCTCGGCGAGCAGCAAACGCGGCGTCGCTGCCCGCGCCGGCCGCAAGCTGCGCGTACGCTCCAGCGGACGTCTGCTCATACCCACCTCGGTGCTGGCGTGGCGCGAGCAGCTACAAGATGTCAACTACTGTGAGGATGAGGAGGATATGGTAAGTGTAAGCTGGCAGTTGCACCATCGCCCCACGCCCCACGCCCCCACCCATTCGCCCATTACAGTGCCCGCATTTCAGTGGGAACTACAATTGCATTGTTTTTCGCCGTGGCCTCATCAATTAAGCCCTGCAAATTGCAAGAGCGAGTGAGCGAGAGAGCGAGAGAGTGAGGCGAAGAGAGCATGCGTATGTGTGTGTGTGTGTCTGTATGCAACGGTTGTTCCGATTGTTTTGTTTGCTTTGACTTTGCGCCGTTTGCCATGGCACGTCTGAGCCGCAGGCCTCGGGTACTTTACAGTTTTTGTGTTTGCATAAAATTTTACGAACAGCAGCGAACGCCAAAAGGGGGCCGAATGCATTTCAAATGCTCTCCATCAGCTGGAACGAATATATAGAGAAAATGGGAATTTCTGATTATTTGATGCATTTTGTTGTCTCGAAGCGATTATTAAATTAAATACTTACATACACAAATTTTCGAGTATGAAAATGCAGTGTTAAATAATTTTTAAATAATTTTTAAAATTATATACATATGTATATATTTATATATATTTATTATATATATTGTTTATGTATATATATGTATATGTATTTATTGTATTTTTTTTATATATATTTCTAATTTAACTATACTCATTCACAAAATCCAAAAGTGTATATGGATTTTGGACAATGTTTGTCTATATTCTCTATAGTTTAAAAGCGGGAAGCTTAAAATCTAACCACAAAATCTCGGCTGGAGATCCTCTATATATACGTATATATATATATGTATATTTATATGGGGTGTGACAAATCGAAAAATGGATCTATGAGCGTTTGGCAATGCTCTAACGTTATCAAAAATGCCTTCTTGATCGTTTTTAAATGTTATCTAAATATATAATAAATATAGTTAATTATATTTACATTTATCTATGCAGTAATTATATGATCTGTCCACTCCAGTCCAGACTGGGCTCAGAATATGGTGTAACTTGGGATCTTAACTGCAACTGCTTGTTCACTCAATTAGGTTCCAATTTCTACTGTTTAATTTGACAACTTCGATCATTGGGCGCACCTAGCGCACCTGAGAACGAGCGTAGAGAGAGCGAGCATAGGGAGAGCGATACTCTAAAGCTCCGCTCTCACATCTGTAACTCCAATTGCCGCTCTTTACAGTGTTACTCGACTATGATGTAAATTTACAACTCAGGTTATTCTATATAATAGAAAATGACTACGATATAATAATATCTAATATTCTCTATCAATTTATTTATATATTTTTTAAGCAAAAGTAAATTCTATGCCTTATTTTACTGCTTAGAACTAGCTTAGATAATATATATAAATACATTATATTTATTTATTAATATTATTCAGCTTCAACTTCAACCTTGTATTTATAATATTTTTATTTCCATTTATTTTTTCATTTTTATTTTAATATTATTTATTTATATTTTTTATTTAATTTTTTTAAATATTTTTTATTTACTAATTAATTTTATGTTTTTGTTTTAATAAAAATTTTTTTTTATTATTGTTTATTATATATTTATAAATTAATTTTAAAATAGACAATTAATATTTAATTTATATTTTTTTAAATTTTATTTAACAATTTTTTGTTATTATATTTTTTAAGCTTAATTTTATTTCGTGTTTAGGAATTATTAATTCTAATTTGACTTTTTTTTTACTTGTTTTATTGATTGTTTAATATACATATATTTAAAATTATTTTTCTAAAAACTAAACCATTCGTTTATATATCAAATGTTAACCTATGCATGTATATTAAACATAGCTAAATTATTTTTATTTTAGAACTAGATTCCTCCATTCGCGTATTCAAAATTTTACTTTATTTCAATTTGAAACGCATTAATAAAATCTTAAAAGAATTCCATTTGGCAGACCGCGAAGCTCGAACGCGTTCGAGCTATAAAAACTTGATAATTGCTCTAATTGTAATAATTTATTTGGCATTCAGTTGAATGTTGAAGTTTTCTTCAGAAGGAAAGGAAAATGATTTGATTCATATTTCAATAAATTCCCTTCAATTGAAATGAATTTGTAAAAGTTTTCCAATTGGATTTTTTGTTTTTTCTTGGCTGTTGCAGAAAAGAGACCAAAAAATAATAGTTAGCTTATTTAGCTTATATGTGAATCTAGTTAGTGTATTTGCTGCGTCGGCTTCAACTCTTCTGGAATTTTTTCGTGTGTGTAGTCGTAATTTTTATTGCGCTTTGTTTATTTCATATGTTGTTTTTTTTTTTTTTCATTTTATTATTATTATTATTATTTTTTTTTTTGCATAATGTATTTGTATTTATTTGCCTCTCACGTTCTGATGTTGTATTTGTTGTAAATATTTGTTGTTGTTGTTGTTTGTGTTGAATATTTCCCTCTTTGCATTTATTGCATTTGTCGCTGCATGAGAAATTCTATGGAATTTATTTTTTGGGCAGCTCGACTTGGCAGGAACCCCCATCCCCCAAAAAAAAGTTGATTCACATATTGTTACAGCCCCACCCCGCACCACCATCTCTCGTTCTACAGTATCTCCCCACAGAGAAACAATTATTTTTGCATACAAACAAGTTGGCAGAGTTTTTTTTTTTATTTTTATTTTTATTTTTTTTTAAGGAGAACCGGTTTCTGATTTTTGTGCTGTCGTTAATTTCCTGAGTCCCCGCTAGACCTCGCCTCCCGCCGGCAGGGGGCCTCGTCATCGGCGTCGCGCAGCATTTATCAGCATTTAATTGGTTAATCATTAGTCAAATATTTTTGTAAACTCGCCCGGGTTGGCGTTCATTTTCATGTTCGTGTTCGAGTTCGAGCTGGGTTCTCTGCTCGCTGCTCACCTTTTCACATAATTATAGGTGGGCTGCGCCTCTTGAAAGCCAACGGCTGAGCACCAAGCGCCCAGCGCCTTCTTTTTCCCTCATTTTCTAAATTTGCTTTTATCGCACCAAAAAATACAAAAAAAAAAAAAATACAAAAAAAAAAAAATAGTCGGGGCTTGGGCCTCATATACAAATAAAGTGCCGGATATTACGAGCAGCATTTGGAGAATTGTTACAAAAATAAAAAATACAAAAATTACTTATCGCAGATTGCATGAAAGTTCGACTTATTTTTTTTTTTTTATGGCAAAACTAATGTCACGTAGCCAACCTTGGGCTTAGCTCTTTATGGCAAATGCTTTCTGTTCATGTCCAACTATAAATACATCAAAATCGAAAATCAAACTAAAAGTAGCTCTAGGAACCATATATATATATATAGAAAATAGAAATTGAGTTTGTTAGTTGAGCTAGAGCTATCTAAAATTTGGTCACGCGCTTTTAGGGCTATAAGAAAGTATATACATTTATATATATATAACTAGAGTTTCAGCAGTTTCAGACAGATACGAATTATAATGGTTATGCAAATTGAATATGATTTAATTTAAAGAAAAAATCTCTAGATGTTGTCATAAGATGGCAAAAGAAGAGTTGATCAAATCTCAAGGCTGTACAAATTGTTTATTAAATTATTTTGAATAATTTGCTATATGCATATATTAAGAAATCGAGCAACAATTGAAACTTAGCCCATTATCGCTGGACTACGATATATTACATATTTATCGCTTTGCAAGTCTATAAACCTAATTTGAGACTATGTCACACACACAGCTGCTGCTGCTGCTGCTGATAGCTGTGGCCCTGAGAGCGTTGGCTGCGAGTACTCAATTTGAATGCTGGAATGTGTGTTTTGAAGTCATCTTATACAATACATTGTATACATATATGCATGTATGTAAGCTTGGATATGGCTAAGGTTAGCGCAAAATATCATTGAGTCGAACGGATGTTTGGCTATTGTAGCATTGACTTTGCCTACGCAATGCCAAGTCAACAGAGCACTCGCCCGACACTTGCCAAGACAAGTGTGAATATGTGTCTTACAGACAGTCTCGTGGCCTGTTCCATGGGCAGAGCGTCCGTGAGGCAGCGCATAGGGGTCCACTGCATGGTGGACGGTGGAGAGCCGAAAGCCGATAGCATTGCCTGTACAGGCATCGACAGAGTGCAAACAACTCTTCAGCAGTATGTGAACAGTCAAAACACAATTTCAACGGGTCAAATGTGCCGCCTTTGTTTGGTCTGTTTCGGGTTTTTTATACCCTGAACCCATTGAAAATGGGAAATCAGGGTATAATGGTTTTG